AGCACCAAAGAAGATATATAAATAAGCACATGAAAAAATGGTCAAAATCATTGATTGTTAAAAAAAATGGAACTCAAAACCACACTGAGATACCACCTCACACCTCTTAGGATGCCTACTATCAAAACAACAGAAAATAACAAGTATTGGCAAGAATGTCGAGAAATTGGAACCTTTGCACAATGTTGGTAGAATTGTAAAATTGTGCAGTGGCCATGGAAAACAGTGTAGCAGTTCCTCAAAGTATTAAGAATAGAATTACCATATGATCCAGAAATTCCACTCTGAGTACATATGCAAAAGAATTGAAAGCAGAGACTTGAACAGATATTTCTATATCCATATTCATAGCAGCATTATTCACAATAGCCAAAAGGTGGAAGCAACACAAGTGTCCATCAATGCGTAAATGGGTAAATAAAAAATGGGGTATATACATACAATGAAAAATTATTCAGACTTAAAAAAGAAGGAAATTCTGACACATGCTACAACATGGATGAAGCTTGAGGACATTAGGCTAAGTAAATAAAGCTAGTCACAAAATAAAAAATACTGTAAGATTACTGTTATATGTGGTACCCAGAGTAGTCAAATTCAGAGACAGAAAGTAGATTGATAGTTGACAGGGGCTGGGGGGAAAGGAGAAGGAGGAGCTGTGTTTAATGGGTATAGAGTTTCAGTTTTGCAAGATGTAAAGTGTTCTAGATATATGTAGTAGTGATGGTCCTACAACAATGTGAAAGTACTTAATGCCACTGATATCTCTACATACCTACATATCTACAAAAATGTCAGTGGTTCCCAAGGACTGAGAGTGGGTTGGGAATTGACTGCAAAGGGGCATGAGGGAACTTCTAGGGGTGATGGAAATGTTCTATATCTTGTTTGTGGTGGTGGTTACACAACTGTATACATATGTCAAAACTCATTTAAATGAACACTGAGACAGGGTAAATTTTACCAGCTGTAAATTATACCTCAATAAACCTTATTTTTAAAATGTCATAAAAGGGAGGTGCTACTGTGGAGAAAGGATTCTCAAAAAATATTAAGAGGAAAGCTGTGCCTCTGTGAATTGTACAAGTAAGCAATCACATGATACCAGACCCATGAAACAGAGAGATGATAGTGTGATGGTTAAGAATGCAGCTCTGAAGCTGATTGTAGGTGTTTGGAAGCTGGTGTCTACTCCAAATGACGTGACCTTGGGCAAGTTGCTCAATTGCTCTTCTGTGACACAGGGATAATAATAATGCCTTCTTCATAGGATTGTTATGAGGCTTAAACTAATAAAACACTTAGAGCAGTGCCTGATATATGGGAAGCACTACATAAGTGGTTTAAAAAAATATTATGTACTATAATGAATCATTAAGTCACAAATATATCCATTAATTTATTGAATAAAATAAATAATACAAATCAAACGCAGCCCAAAATATTGGGACTTTTTTAAGTAATGGTTTGTTTCGAGAGTAGGAGGAAATGTGTTTAATTTTTTTTCTTTTGACAACCAAATGTTTATAAAGACCATGATGCATATTTGAGTTACCCAATGCATTTTGATAATCATTATTACTTACAGATGATGTGGTTTTGATTAAAACAATAAATGGAAATGTGTTCAACCAATCATTAAGCCAATATTTGCTATTCTTGCCTAGGAGTTTAGCATAAAGCTATGTTTTGGGGATACAAAGATGGGTGAGGTTCCAGCACTACTTTTAATGAGTTCACAGTCTAGTGGGGAAGAAAGATAGGTACACAAATAAGTACAGTATGGAGAGTGCTGAAGGATAAGATATACACAGTGAAATGGGAGCTCTGGGAGGTCCCAACTAAGATTAAAACAGAAGAGAAAAAGAAGCAGTAAACCTCAAGTTAAAGGGTTTGAGCTTGCTGGTCACTGGGTGATGGGTCAACTCTGACTTCCTTGCTGAGTGGCCTTGAGGGACTGATTTAATTCTTTAAGCCACAGTTTCCTTATCTTGAAATATGGAACATAACAGTATATACCATAGGGTTGTAGTGAAGATTAAATGAAATAAGACGTAAAAAGTGCTTAGTAAGTAGACGAATCTAGCTTTCAGTAAATGCTAACTATACTACTATTATTAGCATTATTATCAGTACTTGGTTCTACTACTTAACAACATATCATGCCATCACCGAGCCAGATGTCTCTACAGTTTACAAAGCATTTTCATATGCGATTTTTTTCCTGCATCCTCAGTAAATCAAAGTTAGAATGGCAGATTTTATTGTCCTCAACTTAGAGATAAAAAAAAAAAAACAGGAAGAATGTAAATGTCTTGGTCCATATTAAGATATAGAATTTTCTCATGAAAGCCTGTATTTGTTTCACTATATCAGACTGAAAAGGTTTTCTTAATTTTTACTATGATGTACTCATAACTTTTCTTTGATCCACCGTGCAATGCTGCCTAAACGTACATGTATTCACACACACACACACACACACACTCATAAGACCCCTATTTATTTTCAATCCATTACATAGCCTGTGGTTCTTTAATATAGCTTTTGATTAATTTGAACTCCTTTTATTCTGGCAAAGTCCATTTTTCCAGTTCTTTATATTTTTAATTGGGTATGTTTCATTATGTTAAAAATACATCTGTCAGAAATAACAAGAACAAAAATAGCAAAATAACTTTGAGCTATAAACTTGAGATTTTATACCCAATTCCATTTCTAAGGGTATAAAGATAAAACAAATACTCAGTAACAACAAAAAAAAGTTCTGTTACTGATTTGTCGTGTCTTATTTACCTTTTAAAAAGACCCTTTTATTTATCCTTTTAATAAAACATCCATGCTCCTTGACTAATGAGAAAGGTGGGACAAGTATTGTTCAATGCTTCTTCTTAGACATCTGGCAGAGAAAAATGTCACACACATGAAAAAGTGGCAGGAGGGAGAGTAGGGGAAACACGACATAAGATTAAGCTCTTATTTTCTATTAAAATTTATATGACACAGATACAAAGAGACATAGCTACTTACTGTTCATCACAATTCACTGATTTAGTCAATTTAGTTAATTTAATCCAAATTTTTTCTTTGTAGACTTCATCAAACAGCTACCAGCTTTTAAAGTTGAACTTCAGATTTCAGATTTTGATTCTTGCATAGAATTTTGAAAAAAAGAAAACCAAGGTAGCATAGAGTAACAGTAAACAATATAAAAATAGTAAAGTAATTGGTCACTTTGATAATAAATTTCTGTCATTGAAACAGTGGAGGTAAGGTACACAGGTTATTGTTATATTCGAAATCCAGATATTCTGCCACTAGGAAAAATATTTGCTGGGAGTGGAAAAATGACTCCATGTGTTGTTAATCAATCATCCAGTTAGCTTCCTGCTGGTAGTTGTGTAGATCCATTACTGTTGTGAATATTTTACCTGTGAAATCAGGGAGAAAAGATAATTAAACACACATTAATCAGACCCAGGGGTTTGAGTATAGCAATCTATTAATCAATATTGATTGAATATTATAATAAGCATCATGAAGGAGATGGGTTTTAGCTATGTCTTGAAATATGAATAAGGTGGGGATGGTAAGAAGGCAATAGGATGAGAAAAGGGTACAAGAGAAGAAATTTCAGCTAAAGGAAATATATTTCCAAAATTTCCTTATGCACTGTAGAAAATTATATGTCTACTTACTTTTTTCAAAATCAAATAACTGAATATACATGCCTTCTTTTCTTATTCTATCAAATGTCATAAGTATGAAACACATTAGTATATAATTTTGAAGAGTTACTTCTTAAATGTGAGTTAATCTTAAAATAGCATCAAACAATATGCATTTAGTCGGACATTCATTTCAAAATTCCCACCTACTTCTCACTTCCCACTTCCGTTTCCTTAGTCTAAGCTCTCATTGATTCAAACAGTATTTCTATGTACCTATTATGAGCCTGCCACTGTGCCGGGGATATAGGGATGAGTAAAATATGACATGACTTCCTGATTTCAGGAAGCTGATAGGCTAAAAGTGGAAACAGAAATTTATCACATGATTCTATAAATAAATGAAAATTCATACTTGGGTTTACTGCTAGAATAAGATGTGTGTGGTGTTGTCAGAGCACGTGAAAGAGGGAGTTGACCAGGTCAGGGATATCAAGGCTTCTTTGGGGAACTGAAAATTGAATTTCAGTCTGAAGGATGAGTAGAGATTAACTAGAAAAGGAAAAGCATTACATATGGAAGGGAAATCACATGTAAAAGTTTGTAGTGAGAGGATATTTGGCAAGAAGGAAGATCACACCACCTATCAAGCAAAGTCCAATCCTTGTCAAGGCCTCACCCTCTGCCCCGCCCCCCACCAAAATCACAGTGAGGCAGTATCTGTCCCAGGGGCCTGGCCAAGTTGGGGGAACCCAGCTCTGGCTCAAAGGTTGTGCAGGGGCAGGGCCACCTGAGGCCAGAACAGGGGAGTGAACTGCAATTTCAGGGACTCAAAGTTTATTGCCTTCGAGGATGCCGAAGGCTGAGGGCAGCAACCTGGGCTTCCGGCTCAGGCTCCTGGGGCCCGAGTCCCATGTCTGCCAAGGTCCAAGGCTGCAGCAACCCACACCCTCCATTCCATTCTTCTTGGGGTCAGTGGTTCCTCCTGGCAGCAGGGAGACGTCTAGGATTCTTCCCAGGAGTCTTTCATTGTCTGTTCCTCTAGCCTTTCCCCTTGAAAAACAGCCTCGGGGCATTACTCCCTTTCTGACCTAGCCCAACTGCCGGTACTTTTTACTGCATTTGGTTTTTTGTTTTTGTTTTTAACTTTTTATTAAAATGCTTAGGATACAGATTGACTTTCTTTTGTAAATGACTGTTTTACTTTTCATGAAATAGGACATATGTATGCACTCAGATAAAAACAGAATGAAAAGTCTCAATTCATGGGAGTTGTTATACAAAACCCTGATCCTGTGAGAGCGGAGCTCCTCACAGCAGCGTCTTCCACTATTTTATTATAGGAACGGGGTTTTCTGTGGGGCAAAAAATAGACTGGTGTTACTTGACTTTTCAATCTCCTCTTCCTCCAGTGGCCAAAATAAATCACTTTCACAAAGAGCTGCCCTGTGTAGAACCCATAGTTTTCTAGCTTGCTGCAGAGTGATTAGGGACAAATAGGGAAAAAAAAAAAAAAAAGCGAAAAACAAGAAAATGAACACTGAAGCCATCATCCTTCTCATGTCTCTGGGTAGAGAAATATGGGTAAACTTTAGCTAAAGGAAATTAAAATTATGCAAGTTAACTACCTAGTTCATTCGCCGTTAGCTAAATTTGTTCACTTTAGGTTTTAATCTCTTTCCAAACTAACAATTTTGTCTTAACCCAGCAATGCTTGCTAATAAATGGAATGCACGCCCTTCCCAGACTTATACTTCATTGAGGCTCTGTATTTGGTACCTGGCAGTGAAAAAGTATGCTTTCCCAACAGGTGGACCAGGGAGAGCAAGGAGGATTTTGGTGCCAGGTGAAGTTGGTTATTTCTCTCCTGGATTATTACTGGACACCCTCTAGTTCAGCATGATACTAATGTCTCTCCAATCCTGTCCTTCCACCTGTGTTTTACTAAAGTAAATACGATCATACCACTCCTGTGGTTAGCCCCTTCCACCATCCCCCATGGAGACAGCTTGCACACAGGCACAGGGTGGATCTCATCATTGCCAGAACATGTCCTGCCTTTAAATGATCTTTGAATTTGTCACCCTTTTTGACCCTTGAATTCTCTTTGCCGGGATTGTCCTAATACCAGCCTGGCAATCTAGATCTGTTCTCAGGAGATGCCAAATGTTGGTGTGTCGCCCTGGTGGGAATCTTATCCTCTGTGCTTGCACCATTTCCTTTGCCTCTCTGTCCCTACCTCCTCCATTTACATGGCATTCCAGGGATCTAGTCTCACTTTCTGTGCAATGATGAGAGGGGTCTGAAAAGCCCTGGTACTCAACAAATGCTTTTTGTCAAACAGAAGAATCATGTCAGTGTTTCAGGCCTTATTCTGATCATTTAGGATGAATAATTTTGTCTGAATTGTTGATTCAAATCAATTAATTTTAAACTGGTTCCTTTTAAAAGGAGTTTGACTTTCATTATTAATTATTACAATGACTGACTAGTTAATGCTTTTGGTGTAAACCCTGATGGAGCCTTGACTTCTCATATCTAATTCCTTTACTTAAATCTGAGATTAAGAAATATTTTCATTACCATTAAAATATAACCTTGAACAATTTACTTAACTTCTCCGTGCCTCAGTTTTCTCATTTTAAAAGTGAAGATAGTAACAGTTTCTACTTCCTAGGATTCTTATGAAAATTAATTGGTTAACATTTTCAAAGTGCTTTGAACAGTATCTGGAACAAAGTAACCCCTCTACCAGCGTTCGTTAAATGAGTAAACAAATGAATGAACAAAGTCATTCATTGGCGGATATTTCCGAGAAATTTTTCTGAGCTGTAAGGAGTATAAAGGGGAATCCCTTCAACATGTTTTGATCATGGTTTGATAGATCACTTTCATAGCTACCCGTATTTATTCAATATAACTATAGAAACACCACCTCCTCTCCAGCCTTCACAATTCCAGGTACAGAGAGAGACTCCACGGCTTTATATTTCTCTCCCAAATCCATCATACTCTTGGGCCTAGTGGTGAGTTAGGTATTTTCCTTGATGCTTATTGCCACTTTTGACCATTGTTTCTCCCATTTTCCTTAAAAAAAAAAGAAAAAATTTGGAGCTGGCCCCGTGGTATAGTGGTTGAGTTCATGTGCTCCGCTTCTGTGGCCTGGGGTTCACAGGGTCAGATCCCAGGCGAGGACATATGCATTGCACATCAAGCCATGCTGTGGCAGTGTCCCATATAAAGTAGAGGTAGATGGGCACGGATATTAGCCTAGGGCCAATCTTCCTCAGCAAAAAGAAGAGGATTGGCAACAGATGTTAGCTTAGGGCTAATCTTCCTCACAAAAAAAAAAAAGAAAAAGAAAGAAAATGTTTTAAAGCTTATGCCATCAAAGAATACCATACTCCCTTCCTCTTATTGCAGTTATTTACAGGGCCCTGATCACTGACAGCACTGCCTCAACAACATTGGTTAAATATTACTTCCTGTCCTGGGCTTCACGACAGAGCTGTGTGGAAACCCACTTGGGTATTCTGATCCCTGGGCAAACCTAAACTGTGAGAGAGTTAACACCCGAGAGGGTAACAGTTGACCAGTAGGGAACAGTTGCTAGTGGATAAATGCTCCTGCTTTGATTCCATGAACCTTCTAAATCATATTCTACACAGTGTCTCAAATTATCCACAGCATGATCAAACTACAGTTGCCTGTGTTGGTAACTTATTGGTAATGCAATCTTGTATTCACTTTACCTCCTTCCTTGGCATCTCTTTCTAAAATAAACTGCCTGCACTGAAGCTCTTGTCTCAGGTTCTGTTTTCTGGATGGAACCCAGGCTAATGAAATTTTCCAATGAAACAAAGTTCCAAAATATTCCCTGGTATACAATCGGCACTTAACAAATATTTACAGAATAAATGAATTGGAGAATCCATTATAAAGGCAAGACTCTTATTACACATTTTTAGATAAGTCTTAGGAGATCAAATTTGTCTTATTTATATCATCTCCTACTGCTTCATTTATAATTGTATATCAAATACCAGAAGCACAATGTCCCAGGAGTCAATAATCTTTTTAATCCTTTTTTTTTTCAAATTGACTAAAAGGATCATGGAATGTTTATAATCACAGCTTTAGAATACCTTCTATTTTAATGGGGGAAAAAAGATGAATTACAATATGAAAAATTTCATTATTGCCTTCTACTAAAACCTACTCCATCGGAAGAATAATGTCGTCTTGCAGTTTAACTCAACACAAGAAGCTCTTTTAATTTGCACTTCAAGTTCTCTTCCTTCAGAACAATGCTTATAGTCATTGAATTTCTACAAGCTACTCAGTGGGTAAAATTCAAACCAAATAGTAGGAATGAGAAATAAATGACTTCATATATCTTGGCAAAAGTAAGGTAAGAGAACACAGTTAGAGTGGTTTATAGTGATTCTTATTCCCCATTTATTTTCTTTTCTCAGCAATAAAAAGTAAAATCTTTATTCCCTAAAGTACTTTTGGCTGGTGGCAGCTGACAGGAGGATCATCATTTCCTGGTTCTAGTTTGGTTAAACTAGGCTTTTACTATAGACATAGAAATATAGGCACAGTGATGAAGTGCACAGAGCAGTCAGTGAATGACTCTTCATACAGCCCAACATCTTCCCTCAACCCATCTTGCTATGCTCGCAACTTAATCAGTTTCTCAAACACATCCTACTACAAGTTTGTAAGATCTATGTATAATAAAGGATAATAAATCCACTTGGATTCACCTTTCTGGTATTCAAATGAATGTCCGCAATAGCAGGTGTCTTCTTTTAGCCTTTTTTGTGTGTGTGTGAGGAAGATCAGCCCTGAGCTAACATCTGCCAATCTTTCTCTTTTTTGCTGAGGAAGACTGGCCTTGGCCTAACATCCATGCCCATCTTCCTCTACTTTTTATGGGACGCTGCCACAGCATGGCCTGACAAGCAGTGAGTCGGTGTGCGCCCGGGACCGGAACCGGCGAACCCTGGGCCACCACAGCTGAGCGCGCCCACTTAACTGCTTGCGCCACTGGGCCAGCCCCTTCTTTTAGCTTATTGAGAGTTGTTTGGGAACAGAAAAGAGGACAAAGCTACTCTTCTGAATACACAATGATAATGATTGAAGTCTCAGTTCAAACTTCTCCTTGAAAATGTTACTGAAATTTTTGCTAGCTGTTTTACATTTTATTTTTTATTTTGATGACAGTTCTATGATAAACTCTTCCAGTAGCTATGAAAATTTTACCTCTTACCATCTCACAGACTGAGTTGAAATAGGCAAAGTGGTTGGGTACAAAACTGGGCTAAAATTGAAGGCAATTACTAATGATTCTCAGTGCACGAGTATTTCTGTAGCTTCCTCCAGGGTCTCTTAAAGCCTGGGTTTGGCCTATTTGAATTGACTAAGATTAGGAAGTCAATTTTCCATTCTGGTGTTTTCCTAATCCTAGTTATCCAGTGAAAGTCTGGGTTTTTATTTGTTTTTTTGTTTGTGTTTTGAAGGATTAAGAGAGCAGTGAATGTTAAAATTATATTTATCTTTAACTAAAGTAGTTCTTAAATCATGTATGTCTAAACATGTCCTTTGAAACTGTGTAAAAGGTCAACTAGCACATATTTTAAATAATCTATTATTTCAATTCTCTACACTATACATTAAAGTATCTTCTCTTTCATGAAAATAAAATTAGGTGTTACAAGAGAACAGACCAACTTATATAGTCAGATGATTTTATTTCATGAATGATTAAGAAGTACTCTGTTGTAGTGAAAAATGAAATAGTACCTTTGAAATGTTTAGAAATATTTTATAACATATTGATAAAACAATAAACAGCATTGCAGAGCTCTGTTGTTTTCAGTACATTTTCCCATATATTAATGCTTTCGAACTGTCCAATGATCCTTTTGGAAAGCTGGGACAAATGGATTTATCCTCATTACATAAGCTACAGAATCAAGGCAGTTCATATCTCTTAATCAACTTGCTCAAGGCACAGAGTTTATAAGTGATTGAGTCTAACTTAGACTCAGGTTATTTTTAAATTTTTAAATAAACCAAATGCAAAAGCAATGAAAGGATAGCTGTTTTCTTTTCTTTTCTTTTTTTTTTTTTTGTGAGGAAGATCAGCCCTGAGCTAACATCCGTGCTAATCCTCCTCTTTTGGCTGAGGAAGACCTGCTCTGAGCTAACATCTATTGCCAATCCTCCTCCTTTTTTTTTTTTTCCCCAAAGCCCCAGTAGATAGTTATATGTCAAAGTTGCACATCCTTCTAGTTAGGATAGCTGTTTTCTTAATGGAAGCCCAGCCTTCGTTTCTCATAAAACATTTAAAATGAAAGCATAACATATTAATAGTTACAATTATAACATTATAACTTTGTAATTATGAGTAATGACAAAATGTAGCACAGACTATTAATCAAATCTTATGAGAATAAGGTAGGATGGATTACCCAAGTTAGTAAAAACTCCTTTTTTCCTACCACATACCTATTGCTATCATTCTAAAAGACTCAATAAAACTTTTTAAACTCCTAACTATACACAGAAGTATATGTAGCCATTTTGAATTGCATTGTGACAACAGTACACACACTTGAGTATAAAAATAAGTATAACTTTTTTTAATAAAACCAAATTTTTATTGATATTACCATTTCAATTAGCAGCTGAAATTTTTCCATTTTTTTAATTCAAGATCACAAAATCACTGCTAGCATTAGGTTTAGTGTATTCATATTTTAAATTCAAACGATCCACTATTTTTCCTCTCTCCTATCTTCTTCCTCCCTTCTCCCTATGGATAGATTAAATTTCTAGATGCTTACCTATCGCCAGAATTGAGCAAAGCGCCATGGTTTTGCATGGCTTTTTCTGACCACACTGGCTTCGACTTCATGTTGGCCGGTCCCTCCTGATTTTAGCTGTCATCACATGCTGACAAACATCAATGATAACCTCAGTTCTTCTATAGCCACTGCTCCATCAGTCTACCTTTACAATATCATTCAAACCCCACCTCTTGACTGCTTCTTGTTTGCCAGCACTTCTGAGTCCCACTTGAGAAGTAAACCAAGGTTACCTTAGCTTGTGATAAACCTCTAAACTTAGTCGGTACTTTTTTTTTTAATCTCTCTTCCATTGATGTGATGACTCCTTCTCAAGTACTCACAAATGCCTAAATTTAGTCATATTCCCTCCATTGCTTTGTTTCTTTCAGGTTGGTCAAAATCTTCTTTCTCTTTGGAAAGGAAAGTAATTTTTTAGTTGTCACATATTCTACCCTATTACATAGCTTATATTTTGTAATTCATGCCCTCAGTCATATACCTTCAGTTTTGATCATCAGTCAGAAAGTTTCAGAAAAGATTTTTCTTTATCAAGCACAATCAAAAGCCATTTCTTTCTTTCTTTCTTTTTTTTTTTGAGGAAGATTGGCCCTGCACTAACATCTGTTGCCAATCTCCCTTTTTTTTCTTTTTTCTCCCCAAAGCCCCAGTACATAGTTGTATATCACAGTTGTAGAGTTGTAGCTCTTCTATATGGGATGGCACCTTAGCATGGCTTGATGATTGGTCAGTAGGTCCACGTTCAGGATCTGAACCAGCGAACCCCAGGCCTCCAAATTGAAACACCCAAACTTAACCACTATGCCACCATGCCGGCCCCATAAACCCAATTCAAGATAATTCTTCATTCAAGAGTGTGTCTACCCTCCTGTAGGGAAAGTGCATACAAAAATTGGCTATCTCTAAGGTAGAAGGAAGAGCAGTGGACCAAAAGGTGCTCCAAGAGGACAGTGAATCGGGAGAAGGGAGGAGACCTCAATTAAAGCCCCAATACTTTATATCTCTTCATATATTCTTTTTCCTCTTACTGTTTAGAAATTTATTTTATATGTTGATTAGTAGTACAATAACTCTTACATTCTTCTTTAAACGAATGTTTACTGAACACTTGCGAAGTCCAGACGCTGCGCTAGATTCTTTTGGTTCCAGCATGAAGTCCACACTATCTCCGTGTTCAAGAGTCTCACAATTTAATTAGAGGCAGCTACATAAACAGATAATTAGAGCGTGATAGATAGAAGGCTGTAACAATGAATAGAATACTGTGAATGGAGTGTTCAACTTAATCTAGAAAATTCCAAAAAACCTTCATAGAGTTAGTCATTTGCTCTTGCTTAAGAGAGATGAACAGGAATTTCAAAGGTGTATCAGGGTAAAGTGAGAGAAATAATTACAGAGATTACTAGACAAGGTCACTGTTGATTGATTAGAATTTCTGTTGTACCCATAGGAAATTTTGCACTTTATCAGGGACACAACAACTTTACTCTAGCATTAGAAATTTCTGAATCAGAAATAAATCAATGAGTAAATTACTCTAGGTAATCCTAAAACACAATTTTTGATACTTGGAATTTCTTGGCTAGCATGATCTGATCAACTCTTTGGCTCTGTTCTCGAGTTAATTGGTTAATTCAGTCAAATTGGCCTTTAGATTAATTGACTGCTTAAATCAATTGTCTTCATCAGGTTGAGTGATAAATAGAAAATATCAAACTATGTTTTATTGTAAAGGCAGGAATTTTTCTCAAGTTTTATGTTTCTTATGATATGCCTATAGATTTCTTAAAAACATGATATATTTACATTTTTACATAGCACTTTCAATTGAGTTTTTACAATACTGTAATGTTAGTGAGGAAAGTATATTTGACTCCACTTTACTGATGGAAAGATTAAGGCATATCAGGGTTAAGTGACCGTTAACTGTAATACTGCTAATAAATGACATATCTGAGACTTGAACCCAAGGGCTGTTGAGTCCAAATAGAGTATCCTTTTTCTCTAATTAATACAGAGGAATGGAATGTTGTATGGAGAAAATTTTAGAGCCATCAATAATTAAAAGATATTCTGAGTCATGAGGAATTGTTATTTCACCACAGAAACATTTCCTTGCCTTAATGATTAGAATGGGGATAGTATTTCTAGCTTTATAGTTGAAAAATAGTTAAGGCAGATGGATGATCTTGCACAAAGTTATTGGAAATAAGGTATTATGAAGAAAAATATGTGCCATCAATCATTATCATGAAGCTTCTTTAAAATTAGTTAGACAAAAACTAACAGGTTCTCATGTGAGCTTCACTACAATATTAGCTGGCTGATATGTAATTCTAAGGACCATATTCTCTCCTGTTTAACCAGTTGAACAAGAGTATTTATTAAAGTACATACAGCATGATTGGTACTGTTGGAGATGGAAAAAAATGAAATATGAATTTTTTTTATTTGAAATGTTTTCTTTCCGTCCTTCTTTCCCTCCTGCCACAGACATTCATTGAATGCCTACTCTCTATTGGGCATTATCGCATGCATGTTAACAGCAAACAATGTGTAAAACATGGTCTCCCTCTTGACAAAGCTCACAGTCTAGTGACGGAGACAAAATTTCCACTTGTTAAAAAATTAGAGAATTACATTCTGACCTGTGGGTTTCTAAGTAGAATTGTACAGTCATGTAGAATATGGAAAAGAGCTGATCAGTTTAATTAGTTAACTGAATTTGAGCAGAACTTGCAACTCAAACTTCTATGGATAAGTGAGAGAAGGAAACCTGGTGAAATTGTGACACACCGGAGATCAAAGCCCTGTCTAGTCATGTTCCTCACATCCTGCATTGTAGAAGGCTATTGCTATGGGGAAATTCAAGCTCAGCATGGCTAAATTAACACATCCTCTCTTTTTCTAGGGATCTGGAAATTAAAGTCATTGTGTGAAATCTCCCAATTTTTAAAGATCGCAAACAAATCAGACTGTTGGAAAAGATCATGTGAGTAAAATGAAATAATCATGGCCATCAGTTTGCAAACCCTATTTTTAAAAAATTTACATAAACATAGGAATTATAACACGGGATAACATTTTTCAACAAGACCATTTATA